TTAACCTCTCCCCCCCGAAGAGGCGTCGCTTCTGGGCTACGGGTTTCTTAAGGGGATTGGTGCTGAGTTTATGTTGAAAAACTGAAGTGGGAATTCCCGGCATATCTGCTGAAGTCCATGCAAAAACATCTTTATTGGCCCGAAGAAAAGCTATTAGCTCTGCTCTTTCCTCCGGATTCAATTTAGTCCCAATTTGCGTTTTCCAGCTCGGATCTCTGTCATCAATCTGTACCTCTTCCACATCTTCGGCTGTAGCAGTTCTGGTTTCATCTTCTGGTCGGTTATCTACTATCTCCACACCCATAACTTGCCGATTGTCAGGAATCCGTTTGGGATTGACCTCAGGCGTCTAATCTTTACCCTTCTAAGGTTGCGTGACCGAGGTGATATAGCAATGTCGGGCTACCTCCTGGTTGCCTTGCAGCGTTGCTATTCCCGTAGGAGTTGGGAATTTCATGCATAGGTGAGACTAGGAAACCACAGCTCGGATTGCAGTCAGTGTAGGTCGGCCGATGACAGGGTTGAAAGAGGACGCCATCTTGACTACTAAAAACCTCACGGAAGGGGTCACATAACTTCGGCCACTTCCAAATGCAACATTCATGGTGAGGACTCCTTCAACTGGAACTGGTTGGTTGTTGAACCCGTAGATGGGACCATCATACCGCTGCAACAGAGCTGGATCTAACCCAAGACTCTCAAAACAATGGAAGTACATGATGTCTGGTGCAATCCCTGTGTCAACAAGGACACGCTGCACCTCACAATTGTTGATTGTGACAGAAGTGACTAGAGGATCATTGTGAGGTGTGACAACTGTTTCAAGATCAGTAGATGTGAAAGTGATGGGTTGATTCTTCCACTCAGCATCGTCAAATTTTCGCTTCTGAGCTCAGTTCTGGTGCTTAACCTCTTTGACATACAACTTTCGCTGCTTAGAGCTCAGTCCACCGGCTTCCAGACCTCCCGTAATCATGTGTATGACTCTAGCTGGTGGGGGGAGTGGTGGTGGGGCCTACTGATATCCCACACCTTGCCTGTTTGGGGGATTGCGGACTCCTTAATGCTGTGGCCCTTGTTCTCTAACAAACCTTGGCTGTTCCACTCTCTGGATGTACTCATTCAACATTCCTTTCTGCGCCAGACTTTCCAGCTCGGACCTCAAACTATTGCATTGCTCTGTTGTATGACCGTGATCTTGATGAAAATCACAGTACCTAGTATGGTCTCTGGTAGCAGCAGTAGTTCTCATTGGACCCGGACGTCTTAAGTCCATCTTATTCTTGATCTGCATAAAGATTTGTGACCTGGGTAAATTAAAAGGAGTATAATTAATTGGAGGTTTACCTGCAGGTTGTTGCGGAGGTGCTGAGTTCGTCCTCCCGAATCTCAGGGTGGAAGTCGACATCGGACCTCGGTTCTGTGTTGCCTTCATCCGTTTCCTGTTTGGATTCTCATCTCTCCAGTCTGGGTGTTGGTTCTTAATAGGAGTTATGTTCTGCGACAGGGCATATTCCTCAGCAGTTATGAATTTCAACGATCTATCATTTACCTCGCTGAAGGTGTTGGCGGGATGTTTGAGTAGACTATCTCGAAATCTCTCATGGCTAAGACCTGAGATCACAGCTATAATTCCCACAGCTTGGTCGAAAGAATTAACCTCCAGCACTGCATCATTGAATCTGCTCATATAATTCTTCAAAGACTCTCCGTCCCTCTGCTTAACTCGCATCAGCTCAGAAGTGGTTTTCCTGATCAACCTTCGACTAGAAAACTTTGTGGCAAAAGCAGATGCCATTTCTGTGTAAGAGTTGATTGACCTCGGAGGCAGACTGTAGTACCAGGTTCGAGCATTACCTCGGAGGGTAGAGGGAAAGATTTTGCACATCAACGCATCAAAGGCATTCTGGGCTTGCATGCAAGAGTAGAAAGCATGTAGATGATCATCGCGGTCCTTCGTCCCATCATAAGTTTCAAGCTGTGATATTCTGAAGCCAGCGGGATAGGGTTCCAGTATAATATTGGTGTTGAGAGGGTGGGGTACAGAGTCAGCAGCAAGGTGTGGAGGTGGGGCACCTCGCTGTTCAACCACCAGCTTTTCTAAGCTATCTAGACATCGAGTGACATCATCATGAAAGGGTTGCTAAGCTGGTGCGATGTGAGATTGGCCCTGAGATTCACTAACAGCGGGAGCATGTTGAACTGGTTCAGGATTTTGTGGTGGGGCAGAGGGTCGTGGTGGGGCAGGATTAAGTAGGTTAATGAGTGGATCACCAGGATTGTTCCGGGCTAACAGCTGAGCCAGCACTAGCTGAAAGACACCAAACTGTTGTTGCATGGCAGCAAGCTGAGTTGCAACTACGTCTTGGTTAGCGGTGGAGGTTGAGTTGCGAGCCAAATTGTGTGGCTGATTTTCATCCCCTCCTTCTGTATGGTCAACATGAGGGAATGTATTCGGGATTGGGGGTGGGGGATGAGGTGGAAGGTTGTTGGGGACCTGACCTCGTCCCAAAGGCTGAGACGAGTTTCCACCTTTGGCTGACCTAGTTTTAACCATGATAAGAGCAACAAGGGAGCCTTTAGTTCAGTTTCCCACAGGCGGCGCCAAAATGTAACTGCACCAAACCAGAAGTCCTTCTTCAGTCCGTATCTGCACTCTGGATTGACCTGCAAAGCCCCGAGGTGGATCCTCGGGGTAGACACTCCGATGCTTAAGTCAGTAATAATCGGGGCTACCTTTAGAGCGGAGAAACAAGGAGCTTAGGGTTGATTTCAATTACCTTTTCGTCGTGGCCCTTGGGGGGTATTTATAGGTTTCAATGAGGAACCCACATGGCATGCCAAGCAAGATATCCGGGATCTGATGTGTATCTCCAGACGACAAGATATTCGGGATCTGATGTGTATCTCCAGACGGTTAATTTGGGACCCGGAATTTGAGAGATATTCAGATGCACGGATGTTCATCGTGACTGCTGCGCAGCTTATTATAAAGGATCAGATATAGACATGCCTACTGTTGTTGTCATGCAACTATTTGAGCGGGAACCTTTGGATTTATCCTTTACTTGAGCAACAAGGGAAATTACTGTCGTTCGTCCGAGGTTGAGCATCTCGGACTTGCCCTTACAACTATGGAAATAATTTGGCAAAACCCCACAAATTGCCCTTCAACTTCTCGAGCTTGAGGCAAAATGCCCTCCACCTTACAATGTATGAATATTTGCCCTTAACCTTTATAATTTGAGTAAATGAAGAAAATATTAACGTCCTCCCATTACCCTCCATTTCCCAATTACACCTCAGTGCCACCTCAACATTGATTTTACATGTGCGACCATGTGGATGCCATTTTAAAATCAACATAAAAAGTTATTAATGACATGGCACATGATGATTGGCCATATAAGCAAACCTTAATTTTTTACTATAAATTAGAATTACTATCGTCCACCCATTTTCTTCATTTGTTCTCTACCCATTTTCCCTATTCATCTTCTTCCCATCTCTGGTTCCTTTCTTCCTTCCTTTTCCAACATATATCTTCCTTGCCTCTTTTGTCCTTTTCTTCTTCTTCCTCCTATAGCCCATCACCTTCGCATCTTCGGTAAAGATTCAATCGCATCTTTCTCCTCCCTCTCTCTCTCTTCCCCTTCCTCTGTCTCTTTTCCCACTTCTTCCTCTCCATGAGAACAGAGGTTTTGGGTTTGATGGAACCCAGATCTAGGTTCCATCGAACCCAAATTGCTAGGTTCGATGGAACCCAAATTTGGATTCACCCAGATCTAGATTCAAGAAACCCATATTCCAAGGTTTTCCAAACCCAAATTTATAGATTTTTTTTTTTTTTAGCAACAGTTGACGATATATATGTATTTTCTTGATGGAGTTTTTTTTCAAATATGCTGGTTGTGGAATAGAAATTTAATGTTATGAAATGTGTAAAATTTTGTTTATATGGATGATTGAAATACACTATGAAATTGTGAGTTTGATGGGAAAAAGGGTAGAAGCGTGTTTGAAGAAACAAGAACATGAGCTTGAGTTTGCCAGAGATGGAGATCTTGGGAAGGAAGAGATTGAACGAAAGGGATGATGATAAGAGGATAAATGTGTAATTTAACTTTAATTTATAAATTAGAGTAAGAGAACAAGACCTACAATTAAATTGTTTGGCGGTATATTTCTCGTTAACAAGCAATCCAAGCTGGATTGCTAGCATGTGAAAAAAGGCTTACGTGTCACTGATCTGTGCATGTATAATGAAAATTAACGATGCATATGTTACACGTGGCCCCTCAATATTAAATATTGTCTCATTATCATAAGTTTGAATATCATGAGGGTGTAAAATCACATATTATATTATAAGAGATAAAATCCCACATATTTAAAAAGTTAAAGGGCAACCTTTGGGGTTTTGTCGAAATAATTTGGAGACATCTTCCATCATGGAGAGAACTATCGTTAATTGACAGAAAGCACACGCACCTGAAGTTCCACCAATGAGACAGGCTGTTCGCGAATTACAATCAATCATGTGGGTTAAGACATGTTCATTGATAGGAGAGTTACCTAAATCATGATCATGCTAGAAACAGACAATACTGATGATCACAAATAAACTCATCAAATATACAGTGAAAGTGATCCGCTAATAGTACCTTTCCTCCAATAATTGAACACCCTGCAGATTTGAGTTAGCAGCCCTTTCATTCCGCATTAAAAATTGACGAAAAATAGACTGGAATCTAAACTACAGAAAAAAAAAATAAATAGAGAGAGTAGATATTTAAAAGGTTAAATGTCCGATTTTGATCTTTTAATTTTTTATATACTTTTTTAGTTTTTTTACTATGAAAAATATATATTTTTTAATCATTTCATTAATTAATCAATTAAATTTATCATATTTTTAATCTCTTAACTTTTAATATATACAGATTTATAGTTTCTCAATTTTAAATTAAAAAACTAAAAATACATATGTTTAAACAAACTTAGTAGACTAACTAATGAAATAATTAAAAAATATATCTTTCATAGTTAAAGGATTGAAAAAATGCATAAAAAAGTTGAGAAATAAAATTATGCAAAAATTTAAAGTTGAGAGACCAAAATTCACATTTAACCTATTTAAAAAAATAAAAAAATAAAAATTATGTAAAATTTTAAAATTGGAAACCAAAATTAACATTTAAATTTATTTAAGAAAGAAAAAAAATAAATAAAAGACATGTCTGAGCCCGGGTTCGAACCGGGGACCTCTAGTGTGTGAGACTAGCGTGATAACCAACTACACCACCCAGACAATCAAACACCTTGTGAGGTCGCTATAGAAAAACAATTATTATAACTAACAAAAGTTCTGTTAGATTCGGACCACGAGAAACCGCATGGTAACATTCAAAATTTCAAACTAGAAGGATTTGCAGAGAGACTTTTCGAGGGGAATCGGTTTTAGAAACAGTCTTTTGCAATTCTTCCCCTCCTCCACCATGGACGCGCATCACGCTTCTCTTGGTCGACGAACGGTATGTATGATCGTGATTAACATTTGGACGAACACATTCCTTCCTCTCCTCAACTATTCGACCCTATTTTCGCATTTCAAATTATGAATCTGGTGATGTTTATATTGATTTGTGTTGTTTTCGTGATATGCGAAGCTGGAGGAGATTCGGCAGAAGAGAGCCGCTGAGAGATTGAGCAAAACTTCCTCTGGACCAGATCTGAGCAAACTTCCAGTCCCTAATGGTCTCTCCTCTTTTATTTTTGATCGAAATTTTCGTCTCTCCGACTTTCATTTTTATTGGATTCTCTATTGTTTAATTAAAAATTAAACTTCTTTTTTTTTTATGTGTTGGTTTTTTCTTATTTATTATTATTTTTTTTTAACGAATGTAGATTCTTATGCAATGAGGAAGTCTGATAGTGAAATTCGACTCTCTGAGGTAATCTTTGTTTCTTGAATTTTGTTGAATTTTATGCACCTCTTAATTATTTATGTATCATGTTCAAGTCAGATTATCATGAGAAATATGACATTGGAATGTTTGTTATTAAAAGAGTTTTAATTGAAATTATGTATTTGTTCCATTGAAACTGACGAGGCACAAAGGAAATTTGAAGTTACTGACATTTTTGTTTCGGTGTATGAATTATATATTTGGATCTCATACTATGTAATCGTGACTGCAGGCGGATGTTAGTGGTTTAGTATCTCAGCTGAAAGACTTGCAGAATAAGAATGCAGAATTGGAAGAAAACAACAAGATATTATCTGTAGAGGTATTCTGATCTGATGGACTTTTAGGTTTAGTTTGAGAGTTGGATCAAAAGATAGCTTTTGGGCACTCTGGTACTGAAAAATGCTGAATTTCTTTTTGTTTCCTGATTCAGCTCCAAACAAAGGAAGTTGAGAATGAAACACTGCATAGTCACCTAAATGAAGTGGTAAATGAATGTTCTTTATTACTGTTCCACTTACATGTCCTGTTATTATAATTTTTTCTCTATTGAATTGATGAACTTGTAGACTCTTATGAGGAGTGGAACTGTCCTTAACTTGGAGATATATGTGTCAATGTGTGAACTTTACTGCAAAATAAAAGTTGTTAATATCAAATGCCCAGTTTAAAATTTTCTTCATATCATATGTTGTGATCCCTTAGATGGACTTTCTTTCTCTTGTATTGCATGATTATGTGCATGACATTCATGGGTGAGATTTCAATTTTTTGAGTCCCACTGTATGTGTTTGCAGGAAGGGAACACTGTACCATCTTTAAGAAAGGCTCTTAAGGATGTTGCAATGGAGAAAGATGCAGCAGTTGTTGCACGGGTACACACCTTTTGGTTTGAAGCATTTATATATATACATATATTTTTTATATTTTTATTGTGTCCTATATTATATTCTCCGTTCAAAAAAATCTTACGTATGAAAAGCTTACATGTTAGTGTAGGAGGATCTTTCAGCCCAACTTCGGACACTTAAGAAACGCCTGAAAGAAGCAGAAGAAGAACAATACAGAGTATTCCAGCAGTTTGTGCTTTGATATATCATATATGAAAGCAGACTACGATTTGGTTCTTATTTTTTCCTTTTGCATTAGGCTGAGGAAGATGCAGCAGCTTTGAGAGCAGAACTGAACTCGCTCCAGCAACAAGCACTAGGTGGCCCACTTGGTGGGATAAACTTCATGGGAAATTCATCAGATCAAATACAAGCATTAGAAAAGGAGTTAGCTGCATTGAAATTTGAATTACAGGTTACATTGTGTTTATTTTACTTTATTCCCTTGTGAAGTGTTCTTTTATGAGTATCTCATGGTGGTTTTCAAACAATAGCAAGAGTCAGTGCTGAGACAGCAAGAGAGACAACAATTGGCAGAGGAGCAAGCACGTGCTTCTGCTCTATTGTCTGAAAAGCAAGAATTGGAAAAGAAGCTAAGTACTGAATCCGGAAGGGCCTCAGGTCACTACAAATTCCATTTAGTATATATCGCATCTTAATAACAAAACTTCATTGGGGCTGCTAGAGTCATGAAGCATGTCCATAACTTTACGTGTGCATCCAGTATATATACCAGACATGAGCATTTTGCAAGTTATTCAATGTTTGACTTTGCCATTCCTACTCACTGACTGACTTGTATTTGATCAATGTAGAAGAAGCTTCAGAAAAAGTAGCCAGCAAAGAATTTAAAGCGGTAAGAAATGCCTTTTTTTATCAACTTCATTCGGGAATTCTTACAGTCCCTTTGGAAAAGTGAAATATGTCCTATAGTCTCTTTGCAGGCAATTTTCTTTCTTGCTTGTCTGTTACTGATTATCTTATAAGTCAATAATTTTTTCATGCAATAAAAAATATAAAAACTATAATTGAGAGTTATGCTTCATTGCAGCCAGTGACCATTTTCTGTTTTGCAGGAAGACAAGGTGAAACTTGAGATGCAGTTGCATGATATGGCTGTTATGGTGGAGAGGCTTGAAAACAGTAGACAAAAACTTCTAATGGAGGCAAAGTCTTTGCCCTTATGTTTATCTTTTATTAATATGAGCCTGAATTTGAATTGCATTTGCCATCCGAAGTGACAGCTGCTCCAAAATTCTGATTGCAGATTGATAGCCAATCTTCAGAGATAGAGAGACTTTTTGAGGAAAATTCTAATCTCTTATCTTCTTATCAAGAGGCAATGGGCACAGCAAAGCACTGGGAGAATCAGGTAAAATATTAGTCAGGATTAGGAAGTTTTGCAAGAGTCTGGCTGGCCAAAAAAATCAGAAACTTTATGATCATTAAGCATGCAGGTGTCCTTAGACTAAATTATCAGTAAAGATATATTGCTGCCTCATGGAACAATTTTGTCATCGGTTGAACTTACCTAATTTGCCTGCACTCTTGCACTTCTTATTAAAGAGAATCTCATTGTTTTGCTCTTGTTCTGTCTATCCATTGTTTCATGTGATGCTACTTTTTTGAGTATTGAGCAAGATGTGTTATTTTAGTTAAAACTACCACACTTTTGGTGGTTCTTTCTCTTCAATTTCCTGTCCAACATAATTTTGCAGCTAAAAGACTGTCTTAAGCAAAATGAAGAGCTCCGTGTGGTTCTAGATAAATTAAGAATTGAACAAGCTACTTTGCTTTCTACAACTGGTAGTGAGATCCTGGGAGGCTCATCAGAAGTTCATAAAGATGGAGCTATTCAAACTGGTTCACAGGCAAATGCAAGTGAAATTCTTTCGCTGAAGGTTAGGACATGACAATATGAGATTTTCTCTTTCTCTATTCGCATTAAATGATTGTTTTAGGCTTCTTTTTAAAATGGCAGATAGATTGCGTGTCATATTTGGGCTGATATTTTCAACCTCTTAATATTCTTTAAGACCTCTATATATCCCTTTTACCTTTCAAATCTGCAAGAGGAAAAATGCAACTGATCATATATTTTACTTAAAACTAGCGTTCCTCCATTATGGTTGTCTTTGCTGACTGTGATTATAATTTCTTTTAGGGCCAACTTGCAAAAGAGCAGAGCAGAGCTGAGGCTCTATCAGCTGAAGTCATGCAACTTTCAGCACGTCTCCACCGAACAGCCCAAGCATACAACAATCTCACACGCCTGTAGTAATCATTCCCTTATAACTAATAATCATGATTTCATTTCAATTTTCATGCAAAACCATTGACCCTAATATCATTTATGATGCAGCTATAAGCCTGTACTACGGAACATAGAAAGCAGTCTTATCAAAATGAAGCAGGATGGCTCTGTCACCGTGCAGTGAATGCAAAAGGCTCTAAATGCCAAATTCTTAAGTGGAGGACCCCTGTTGGCATCTTGTGTCATATCAGAAACTTTGTTAGTAGTAATTACCAAAAATTTTCTAAAGAATTAATTTTTTATACCCAAAATTGTACTTCGCCCTTTTTACTTTAAGGAATTCTTTTTCTTTTTTTTTTACTTTTTTTTTGGGATGAACTAAGGAATTAATTTTAATTTTTGAATTGTTTCATTGATCCCAGAAAAAAAAAATAGAAATCTTAAAGAATTGAAAATTGTCTGTCTTAAATAGCTCTTTGTCCTCTCATTTTCTTTTCTCATTTATCCTTTTCTATATGTCTTTCTTTAGTGGAAACAAAAATGAAGAAACTAAAGACGTGGAATTTGATGGTTTTAGTAAGCATAATACATATATTAGCAGTATTATTGATATGTTGCAGAGTAACTGGTTTTCAATACACTGAAAGAAACGAGAGTTAAAAGGGAGACGGTTATCTTATTAGCAACATATTCTACTAGACTATTTTTGAGGCAGCGTTACAGGCAGCAGTTTGTTCCTCGTGCATGGTAGTTTTATGGTATGCGAGAGGTTGTTGGAGGGGGATGTCCATGTGATGGTAGCGGATGACCATATGTGGGCGGGTGATGCCCTTGAACAGGTGGTGGGTAATGGCTAGGAGGTGGATGCTTGTAAGATGGTCGTGGATATCTTTGTATGGGTGGTATGTAATAGTGCATAGGTGGCAGATAGCTATGAGATGGTGGTGGATGTCTTCGAATGGGTGGTAGGGTGGGTGGTGGATGCCTAGGAGTGGGCGGTGAACGGTGGCTAGGTGGTGAATGCCTATGAGTGGGCGGTGAATGGTGGCTAGGTGGCGGATGCCTGTGAGTGGGTGGTGGTGGTGGGTGTTGGGTTGGAGGTGGATACCTTTGAGTGCGTGGGGAGTATTGGATAGGTGGCGGATATCTGTGACGTGGTGGTGGATGCCTGTGAGACGGTGGTGGGCTTCTGGATGGCAGCGGATGACCTTGATCCGGTGGGGAATACTGGCTAGGTAGTGAATACTGAATTGGTGGTGCGTGCCTATGGGACGGAGGTGAGTAACCCCTTGATGGCGGAGGAAATATGCTTATCGGAGGTGATTTCCCATATTGTGGAGGAGAATAGCCATAGCCAGGCCCTGAGGTATGGAGAATCACCTGCCCCCCTTTGCCATAAGTATAATACTTGGGAAACACCTTTGAGAAGGTGGTATCAGAAACGCCATCTGTGCCTAAAACTGTAGCCACTAATAGCACAATGTGGATACAGAAAGCAATCATCTTTGTCTCAGAAGCAGAGGAGGTGAAGAAGACTGCGGGGTGAAGGGAATATATAGCAGGTGAGGATGCAGAAGGGAACAAATTAGATGGGTGTATAGGTGCCAGATCCACATGAACATTCAAATTACCGATCTGCATATTTCTAGTGTTCGCTTCCACGTCTACCCCAAGGCACAAAACATGAGATATCAACTTTACTGAAAATGAGAACAATGAACATGCAATCTTTGACATTCAAATGAGAATTGACGTCAGGGCATAGAGAAAACGCACTTCAGGTTTAATTTGCCGACAAATAAGCCGGCAAATGCACTCCACTGTTCACACAAAGCTGCTATTAGAATCAAAGTATGCAGCAGAAGTAGAGTAACTTAATCTCCACTCCACGCTCCACATAACATACTGGAGAATGGAGATGGATCCTCCGTTTTCAATCAAATGAATTTCTGTTTTCAATGTATAGACTTCTAATCCAAACTTGGAAACAGAAAACTAGAATGCAAGGATAACAAAAAGGGCAATTAGAGGGAAGAAAAAAAAAAAAGATTCTTGTTTTATGAAAACCAGAAACTCTTCCAGTGGAATCCATATTCTACATATGTCATTTACAGGCCAGAATGAATGTACACAATCACCGATATTTTTGTTGGACTTTGATTAAAAAAAATGGTGTTTGCACCTTCACTGCAGCCCTAAAACACGGTAAAGTGATACTATTCTATGGTATTAAAAGGCTCCTCCTTCCCCTTTTAACAGCCTGACAGATAAGAATCGGTAATGCAGCAAATCTCTAATCGTTAAGAAACTCTAACACCACTTTCCCAATCTTCAATTGTTTCTCCTTAAATCACAAGTGGATTTCAAGAAAGCTGTCAAATCAACAAAGAAGTTTAGAATGAATGTCACAGGCAGCACTCTCAAATGAAAAATAAGAATTAGAAAACGTAAAAAAATCATGGGGATTATAGGGCATAAAAAAGAGCAGAGACATCAAATGAACAACAATGTTGCTCACTGGAGCAGTGAAAATCAACTATTTCTGTCTAGATGCTACAGAACTTATTTTGCGTCTAGGTCACTAATTTAGGTATATTATTTTCAGCAGTATACTATTTGCTGTTCAATGTGAAAAAAAAAAAAAAATCTGTTATAAATGCACCAAATAACAAAAGCATCATAATATCAATCATACAGAAAATCTTCAATTGCTCCATTGATCTCATAATGGTAGAAAAGGGTTGTACTTTCACATCAAAACTATTGACATTTAATTTCTAAGTTTCACTGTTCCAGTGCCATTCAAAGCAAGCAAAGGAAAGGCAATAATGACTCTTAATTCTCAAATTACCTATATAACAAATAAAGATCAGAAAAGCAATGAAATACCAAGTTCCAGACAGCTCCAAACCTATGGGTAAAGTGGTGGCTATGAAAAAAACTTCCTTGCGGAGAATAGGCAACTAACATGTCAATCTTTCAGAAATAGCTAATGCACTTGGCAGTTCTTTATTTTATCACCATTGTATAGGGACCATGTTTACGTGACACAAATTGATAGTCTACAATATTATTATAAATTCTAGCCAGAAACTGAGACAGCAATCATAACATACCTCAGAGAAACCTAGACTTTTTCTCAACAGGTTTAAGAATTTGGAAAGAGCACATCAAGCTTTCATCAACGCTCATCATTGCACCAGCATTATCAAATTCACCACAATAGTTTGGAGCAGAAAATATTGTAACAAGCTGTCTGTCAGCAAAGAATTCATATCCATCTTCAACAACCTGGAAAAAGAAGCATAGTGTAAACTGAAAAAGATCACAGAAAAATGGAACAAAGAAGCAAATCTTACTAACTTGATGGGCTCGACAAACAAGATCCATATCATTCGTCTCCAAGAAGTCTGAGACTCTATCTGGCCCAAAGGTATATGAGACTCCTCGATCATTCATTCCCCAGCCCTTGACTTCTCTAGCAGGATCGGACCAAAGTAAATCACAAAGCAAACCAGACTCTGGAACATCAGTAGGGCGAGGCAAATTCCTAATTTGATCCAAATTTGTTAAATCAGGGGAAAGTCCACCATGCATGCACAGTATTTTGTCATCGATGAGAGCAGCCACAGGCAGACAGTTGAAACAATCAGTAAAAGTTTTCCAGAGTTTCACATTGAATCTTCGCTTGCATTCATCATAAAATCCATAAATACGATTAATAGAAGCAGATTCATGGTTTCCTCTCAGAAGAAAGAAGTTCTCAGGGTATTTGATCTTATAAGCCAGCAACAGGCATATTGTTTCCAAGCTCTGCTTGCCTCGATCCACATAGTCCCCTAGGAATAAATAATTAGCAGTAGGAGGGAGACCCCCATATTCAAAAAGACGCAGAAGATCAGCATACTGCCCATGAATGTCACCTGTGAAAAGGAATGGAAGTTAACAATGCTCCAATTTCAAGTGAAACAGATGTAATATATACAAAAAAGACTAATAAACAAGAATTGAATTATATGTGGTGGATGGAATTGGTATAGATGAACTTTGGTAGCTAGGACTAAATTGAATGGAAAACCAAGAATATTATTTCAGTATATCAGTTTATACAGGTCTAGCAAAGCTGGCTATACACAGCCATATATTAATAGAAACTACATGAGCATACTTTCCTCAGCTAATTCCCCATGCTCTCATGCAATTATATTATTTAAGGGATCTTATCTAGTTTATTCTTCAAGCATCAAGCTTTAAACAACCTCTGCATATGTACAAAAGAATCTACAATGCATGGCATCCTCTAGCAGGTATAAAGACACGAAGCAGTTTTTACAGCAACGTGTACAGAAGGACTCTAGCTCTCACACATTAAGATTACATAATCTACAGCCAGCAGGGGAAAGGAAAAGGAGATTGCATAAATTACAGCAGTCTAAGGTATACCTACATGAGAACTGTTATGGTTCCACACCACGAATCCTTCACCCATGATAGCAATATATGGTCAACGAAGAACAACAGTAGGTCAACAAAAAGGATCAAAATACATCTTAATGCAACTTCTAAGCACTCACATAATCATTCCAAAAATCTAAACTTTACATCCTCTTTAATTTTCCCCTATGCAGTGAAACCCCAAAACATAAGAGAAAAAGAAAAAAAAAAAAAAATCAAGACAGCGATAGCCATGCCTTCCAATTGCTATAAAGCTAAGCATTGAAGAAGCAAACAGGGTGGGTTGAAAACAGAAAGGGCGTACCACAGATCTTGATGGGTGCCTCGAGTTCCAGGAGATTTGGCTGATGGAGAAAGATTCCTTTCGCAACAGTGCACAGCTGATGGATCTCGCCCTCCATCAGCAGCACCTGCTTGGCTCCCCTCGTATTCTTGAATTCCAACAAACGAGATATGATATCGTCCAAAAGCGCAGGGTCAATGGAAGCAGATCCCATGGTCGCCAAAATATTTCAAAAAATCACGATCCTGATAATCGAAAAACAAAATCTTAAAGAAACAATACAAAACCACCCTGCAAGTCTTCTTTCTGGGTTAGTGGGTCTCTTTCGATGGGGAAAGAGAGAGGAGAATGTGGGTGACGTTATTAAATTAATCTCTGCGTCCACAAAAGATAGCAGACTATATATAAAATACAAAAGCTAAAAGCCAAAATCAAAACAAATTGGAAAATAATGGCGGTGGAGACTGCAACTCCGATGCGGCGGAGGCGCCGATATATATGAATCAGATTTCTAGTCAGACTCGGACTCGGACTCGGACTCGGGATCAATGAATCGCGCCCTTATATTTCGGTTTGGTGAGAATTTCTCCACTTTGGCACGAAATTTCCGGAATGACCATATTGACCTTTTTGATTTTTTTATACTGTTGTTTTTTTTTTTTTTTCAATTTTAAGAAATTTTATAAAAACTAACACTAAACACTCGAAATTATAATCATAAAGTAATAACCTCATGTGGATAGAGCCCATGGTATATTAAAAAAAGTTAGGAGTGCGAATTGTCTTATTAAATTTTTCTATTAAAATATCAATTTAGTCCTTCAATTTTAAATTTATATTAAAATTACGCTTCAACTTTAGAAAATATCAAAATTATTTCTTAACTTTAATTTTTAGTGCCAAAATAGTCCTTAAATTTTCAATATAATACCAATTTAGTCTTTAAACTTTGAAGATAAGTACTAACTTAATTCTTAAACTTTAATTATAAATACTAATTTGATTTTTCAACTTTGATTATATATTAATTTGATATATAAATAAAAATAAGTTATGATGGAAAAATATAACTATTTGATTTTATATGTTATTATTATTTTAGAAAAAAATTAATTTTGTGATAAAATAACGAGTTATATGATATTTCTATTAACAAAAGGACTTTTTAGTATTAAAAATTAAAACTTAGGGTCAATTTTAGTGCTTTTTGAAGTTGAAAAACAATTTTAACACAAATTAAAAAATTAAGGGACCAAATTAATATTTTAACCATAATTTTTGTACCATTTCGTACCAACTGTACCGCTTGATACGTATCGATTTTGTAGGTTGACCAAAATGGTATGGATTTGAATTTCGTTTCGATCAAATATCGAATATTTCGATCAAATTTTAATGTACCGACTGAAATTTGGTATACTGGCAGGTACACCAAAATTGAATTAGCGCAATTCAAATTAAAAAAAAAAAAAAAAGAAAGTAAAAAGGCAAATCAGCCCCTATATTCAATGAATTGTGGCAAATCAACTCTTATACTCAGTGAATGGTAGCAAATCAACCCCTATATTGAATGAATAATGACAAATAAACCCCTCAACTAAAAATAAATACAAATCAACCCCTCAACTCATTGCATTAGTTGCAAATTAACCCTTTTTTGCACAGCTTATGTAAGTTCTTTCTCTCGGTCCTTTTCCTAAAATAGATATAAGGAAAACAAATTATT